AATGAAGTTCTTTCTGATCCTCTCTGTACTTCTCCATCAGCAGCCTCAAAGCAAAAATGGCATCTGTGTTGCTCTTTCTTGGCATTCACCCTCACTAATTTTTCCCACTTCCTGGTCCTCAGCTTCTATGACCTCTATTCTTCTTTCTCTTTCATTCTCTTCAATACAAATTCAAATTCAAAAATACGTTATTAATCCCAAAGGGAAATTAGTTGTTGTAACTCGTTATCCTCATTTCATTAAGAGATGTTATAGATACTGATGGCTGTAGACAGGAAGGATCTCTTGTAAAGGTCCATCCCACAGTGGATCCTAAGAAACTGGCTGCAGATGTCGTCTGATCTGTCCACCCAGACTCGGCTGGCCTCTCAGTTCCCCCGGGCTGTAGGACCACCTAAATGCAGGGCAGAACTCCTCCCAGTGCGATGGCCACTCCTCCCAGCAGTCTGCCGAGCTCCTCAATGCTACGGACATCCAACTGTAGGTGCTGAGGGATGATCCTGTCCTTCTGCTGTCATGAGCTGTGTTTCCTGCTAGTTCCAGGATCTCAGTAGTCAAGCACTCAAGCACAGCTGGCAGGTAGATGAGAATGCATCCACAGAACATCCTTTTCAACTCATTTGAGATTTGAGGCTGTAGTTGACATATTATTTGAGCTTTTGAGATGTTAATCAGCTGCTCTTGGTTGTAGAAAACTGCCTTGTTGCCATGGTTACACATCATAACAAATGTCCAAAACTAAAAAAGTTTCAGTAAAAATCCTTCCAGCTGCACAGCATATATATATATATATATACCAGAGGAAACAATCATCCAAAAAATGTGATTTACATCCAGAAAAAGAGGAATTAAAGTTTCCAAAAGCAAAATCTCAGAATGAAAGTAACAGAGCTGCTCCAACATGCAACCACCTTGAGCGGCACAATTCTATATATATGTATATTCACACTTCATTCATTAGCTCCTCAAAGTATGTCTTTCACCTTCCCGTCACATTCTCCTCACTTGTTAGAACATTACCATTCCTATCTTTAACAAGCCTAACCTGTTGCACATCCTTTCCAGTCTAATCCCTTTGTCTGGTCAGTCAGTATAAGGGCTTTTCGCCCTCTTTAGCGTCCAGCCTCCCATACAGCTCATGCCTTATGCTTTGCCTTTGCTACCTCCCTCTTTGCTCTACATTGCATCTCCTTATATTCCTGTCTCCTCTTCAGTCCTCTCATTGTCATATTTCTTCTTGGCTAACCTCTTTCTTTGAATAGCTTCCTGCACTTCACTATTCCACCACTAGGTTTCCTTATACTGTTTTCTTTGTCTAGATGACACACCAAGTACCATCCTATCTGTCTCTCTAATTACTGTAGCTGTAGTAACCCAGTCATCTGGAAGCTCTTTCTTAACACCCAGAGCCTTTAACAGCTCCTCTTTGAATTCCTCACATCCTTCTTTTTACATCAGCTTACACATTTGGTCTTCTCTGATTTTACTCTTTTTTTCTTCTTCACAACATTAGTCATTCTACACACAACCATATAATGCTGTCTGGTCTTGCTCTCCCCTTCCACATCCTTACAATCCCCAATCTCCCCCAGGTTTCCTCTTCTACACATGCATACTCCTTTCTCCACTCTTATATATAAGAGTGGAGAAAAGTTGACACTTGCAGGTTGACTTATTGATGCCTTTAAACCAAAGTTAAGCCGTTTAAAAAAAATGTCCTAACCTGAAAAAAGTCATTTATGCTTTTATCAGCTCAAGGCTTGACTACTGCAATATTCTGTGTGTAGGAATCTCCCAATCCGCCATTAGATGTCTTCAGTTGGTCCAAAATGCTGCAGCCTGTCTTTTAACCAACACTCAGATGTGAGCACATCACACCCATTTTATTTTCTCTCCATTGGTTTCCAGTCTGTTTTAGAATTGATTTTATTCCCTTTTAAAGTGCTTAATGGTCTAGACCCTGACATGATCTGTTAATGGGTTGAACCCACATGCAGGCTGACACAGGAGACTCCAAGGTAAAACATAAAGAGTATATTTAAAATAAAACAAAATAAAACAAAAAACACAGCAAAAGCTGACGAGGCAGCAAAAACTTACATTTAATGAATGGATGAAAAGATGGAGGAACAGACATGGCAGGTTTGGAAGCACAATCCATGGACAAAGGAGAAACACAGAGACATTGACTTTAACTAATCAGACAGGAATGACAAACACCTGGGAAGATTAGAATTAGACAGGTGAGACAGGAGCTGAACAACAAGGAGGAAAATCACTGGAGAGTGCAGGAAACACAATAATTAAAAAAATGGCAGGAAAAAAACACAGATTTCCACAGTATTCCTTACTCAAGGGATGGCACTTGCCATCTCAAAAGACAACTGTATGTAACATGGGTGTGAGGAGGGAGGAAACAACAGGATGGAGGGCACAAAGGGAAATACAAGGACCAAATAACCTAAAACTGACAAGGTCAAAACTTGGGAACCTCCCCAAAAAGTACAACAAAGGGTAAACACCAAACCAAGAGTTCAGGTGGACGGCCAGAAGACCATCCAGAGCGGGGCAAGAGTTCTGGCAAGTGGCCCAGACACTGTCCCAAACAGGGCAAGAGTTCTAGCGGGCAGTCATGAGACCATTCATCACTGGGCAGGAGTTCTAACGGGTGGCCAAGAGACCATCCAGAATGGGGCAAGAGTGACGTCCACCTGGACCCTCTCCAAATCAGGCAAACAAGGGGTGAAGAGGCCAGAGGGGAGGCTTTGGCAGCAGGTGGAGGAACCACTGGGAAGGCTGTGACTGCAGGCAAAGAGACCCCTGGGGAGGCTGTGGTTGCAGATGTCACGTCAGTGAAGGAGGGAGCTGCAGCAGACGATGAGACCAGAGGAGCTACAATAAGAGATTAGACCAGAGGAGCTGCAGCTAGTGATGGGCCAGAGGTCAAGGCTGTAGCAGATGGCGAGGAACCAGAGGAGGGAGCTGCAGCAAACGGCGAGGAACCAAAGATGGGGGCTGCAGCTGGCAAGTCAGACAAGGGGACTGCAGCTGATGAGTCAGATGAGGGGACTGCAAATGGCAAGTCCGATGTGGGGGCTGCAGCTGATGTGACCAGAGGAACTGCAGCTGATGAGACCAGAGGAACTGCAGCTGACGAGATCAGAGGAATTCTAGCACATGATGAGACCAGTGAGTCTGCAGCAGGCAATGAGACCGGCAAGTCTTCAGCATGCAATGAGACCAGTGAGTCTGCAGCAGGTAATTAGACTGGTGAGACTGCACCAGGCAATGAGACCAGAAGGACTGCAGCAGGAGATAAGGCCGGCGGGACTGTAGCAAGAGATGAGGCAAGCGGGACTACAGCAGGAGATGAGACCGGCAAGACTGCAGCAGGAGATGAGGCCGGTAGGAATGCAGCAGGAGATGAGGCAAGTGGAACTGCAGCAGGAGATGTAGAGCAGAGGCCATCGTCTCTGACACCCACAGAAAGGCATGGGGGATATGGAACGTTATCCTCGACCTCCATGGAGAGGCATGGAGGAAAAAGATCATTGTCTCTGACACCCATGGAGGGGCATGGAGGAAAAGGGTCATTGTCCTTGACATCCACGGAGACACAAGGAGGTGAGGAGTCATGGCCGACACCCATGGAGACACAGGAAGGTGGAGTGTCATGGCTGATCTCCACAGAAACACCAGAAGGGGAAGCATCACTGTCACCCGTGGAAATCTCGACTGCCCCCTTGGCTGTGGAGATCTAGGTCACTCCCTTGGCTGCATCTGGGAAGACTCTGGTGGAGAGAGGGCTTGGGATTTGGTGGCTCTGGTTTGGGTCTGCCGTTGACTCCTCTTGCGGCAGAGACAAGGATGGAGATGGGGAGGATGTGCGGTTTGATTTTCTCTCACAGACGACTTGGGAGGGGGGCGAGGATGGTTGGGGATTGGAGCGGCGGGTGGCAGAAGAAGGGAGTGCAGCTTACATCTCTCCTTCTACACCTCAAAAATCTTCAAAAAGCTCACACATCCCCAGTACTTTGCTCAGTCCTGGCAGCATGTAAACTCACCCACAAAGTCCTCTATGGCCACCACCCGTTCCCACAGATTGCTGGAGGTGGCCACTGGGTTCACATATGGGCACGTTACCTCAAGGAGCCACTGAAGGTCCTCAGGGGCGAGCTCTACAAGAAACAGACAACCTGCTGGGTTCTTATACTGGTTCGTGGATTCTGATATGATCTGTTGTAATGTGTTGAACCCATGTGCAGGTAGGCATGGGAGACTCCAAGGTAAAAAATAAAGAATGTATTTATATATTTTTTAAAATGCTTACGGGGCAGCAAAACTTACATTTAACGAAGGATGAAAAGATGGAGGAACAGACATGACAGGCTTGGAAGCACAATCCACAGACAAAGGAGAAACACAGAGATGCTGACTTTAAAGGGAGTCAGACAGGAAAGGAAACATCTGAGGTGATTAGAATTAGAGACAGGTGAGACAGGAACTGAACAACAAGGAGGAAAAACACTGGGGAGTACAGGAGACAAAAGGATTAAAGAAACGACAGGACAAAAACACAGATTCCCACAGACCTACCTTATTTACCTGATCTAGTAGCTTTCTGTGAGTATGAGAGAACCTTAAGATCCACTAAAACATATTTACTGTTTGTCCCAAAGTCCGAATACAAATGTGGGGGTTACCAGGCCTTTTGCGTCACTGCACCCAGACTGTGGAACCAATTACCTCAGGAATTTAAAAAAATCTAATCTTAAAAGCTTTTTATTCAGGCAAGCTTTTAATACTAGTGGCTCTCTATCATTTTTGTATTATTTTTTTTTTTACTTTTGTATTGTGAAGCACTTTGCACACCTTTTGGCTGCTGTAAAGGGCTCTATAAATAAATGTGGATTGATTAATTGATTGAGAATGATGCAATAATTTCTTATCCATAAAATAGAAACAGTGTTTCTGTCAGAGTCAACTTTCATGTTGCTTACCATCATCCTCTTTGTTGTGGGAGTTCCGAGGACTATGGTGCATCTTTTTACTACGGTTTGTAGGGCTCAGGTCTGACACTGCTCCCAGATCTGCTTCTAGCCATGTGGGCTCACTCATCTCTGCCTGCTGACCGCTCAGTCAGCTGTCATCCTGACTGCAAACAAAGAGAACACGACAACTTGATGACATGAAAGGCTGACCTGTGTGAACGTGTTATTAATGAGACTTTGTGAACCACTACAAACAAATGAAATCAGTAATTCCTTATCAACAATTATGCTTTTATTATTTTCAATTTGACATGTGTGCTTACTGTTTTCAGTATGTACAACCATTACGGCTGCTCGACCAGTTAAAGAGATAGTTCAGTCAACTTTTAAAATATGTTCCGTTTAACGGAGACAGATACTTTATTCATCAAGTTAGTACCTTAACAGCAATTACATCATCAGTCAGAGATAAGTTTTTCATCCAGGTAAGCTAATGGATAGCCAAACAAATCACTGCTTAAAAAAAAATAAAAACATAAATAAAGAATATACATATTGTGTGTATGGATTTA